AGCAGGAAGACACCTAATGTGCATTTAGAAGGTTTTAATGGTATTAAACAGTCAAGCAGTTGTGTGGGGTAGACTATGTTTATTATCCTTATATTTAATGGACCTTTTCACAGACTCTCTGCTGAGTCTCTTGTGTAGCAGAGTAACATCTAAATGTGTTTTTTATCTGACTTTCCTGCATGAGGACCCCAGTTTATGTTAGGTCATTTAATTCTAGTATATTTAAATATATATGCACGATAAACTTTTTATATATCTCGTAAAAATATAGTCAAATAAACGCGCAGAGCTGTCAGCCCGTAACTGATAAGAGCAAAGACATTTCGATCTCGTATGAGAGGAGGAGGAGATTACAAATCAGAGACAGTGACAATAAAGATATTTACGACTTAAAGCCTTCGGAATAACTCGTTTTTAGATAAATACGCTGGCCCTGTTTAGGTGGCTTAAAAGGTAACTCCATACTTGTATGTCACTATTATTTTCTTGGCCAAGCCTTTTAATAAATCTAAGTATCATAAAAACATCAGATCCAGTTTCACAAGCGATTTTGTTTCCAAAAACAAATTCAATCACACACTGAAAACACTCAAACGTTGACATGAAATCAAAAGTATTATGTCAACAGATTTCACATACTTGTATGAGGTTAGAAATGATTTAAAAGAAAAAATCATGTTCAACTTAATATGATTGCTTTCCATTAAAGTGGACCTATCATGCTATATTTGAATAATATAGTGTAGGACCATACCTATATAAGGCATATTTATACTTTTTTCTTTTCAAAATACCAAACAGATCATGCATTTTAGCCATGCCTCATTTCGCTCAATTTGCACTTTTTTTTAGCAAGGGCTGATTCTGTGAGAACAGCACCACCTACAGGCCTGGCATATGTACTACAGCGTCTCCAGCGCTTTCGAACGGCAATGGCCGTGGTTGTCTCCTCCTGATTGGTGGAGTTGGCCCAATAGCCGTAGCGCCACCGTCCTGACGTCAGGACAGTGTTCAAATCTGGATCAGTTTTTATCAGATCCGTTACAGCCCCTTTTTTAGAGATTTGGGTATGGAGGAAAATAGAGAGGGTTGTGTTTTCTGACACTTGGTGAGTTCCCTGGAACACCGGGGACACATATTCATGTATAAAAGACGTACAAAAGTGCATTTTGCATGATAGGTCCCCTTTAACCTTTGTCAATTTGCTGACATAATACATTTAATTAAAATCAACATTTCAGTTCTTCAGAGCACGTTAGGACTTTGGAGAGGATGTATGTGCTGGCATCTTCATCTCACCTCCACAACATGTTATTAATCATGAGTCTGTGTCCTTCGCTCACTCCACTTACAAGTGTCTACATTATAATACACTCAGTAATCAGTGTGACCAGACTGCAGCCCACACACCAAATGAATACTTAACGAAGCACCAGCCACACTTCATTTCTCTCCTCTTATGTCTCTCTCTAAGCGATGCCGCCTCTGCAGAGACAAAGCTAACGCACTTGAAGAAGTTCAGAACCTCGCTGTCTACAAAACTCAAATCTATTATCATCCGTGCGTGACCGCGGCGCATCAAACGCATGAATCGCACCCCGCTGTGGGCTCCTTTTCCAGAGGAACACTTTGGCAGGATGGAGTAAAACAACACAGCGCCTCTCTGCAGAAGGGAGTCCTTTTCTCCTGAACACAACGCGCTGAAAATCTCAGGGGTAATTAGTATCTTTGTGCCTATTGAACACATCAAAAAGGGGTCTGTCACATCTCGCTTCATAATGCACTGAGAGGAAGAGGAGGAGGAGGAGGGTGGGTGGGTGAAGTGAATAGCTATATATTGTAATTATGCCAAGAGAAATGAAACCGAGGTTCAATAGAGATTTTCATCTGCAGGAGAGGGGAGAGAGGAGAGGGGAGAGGGGAGAGGGGAGAGGGGACGCATGTCTATAGGAACTGTGGGTGTAATGAGAGTACAGAAACAAAAAGGAGAGAGATGAAATGCGGAGGAATGCAACGAGTCAAAAGCATGCAGGGAAAAACGATATTAAATGTAAGAGAAGGAGGTGATGGTATGTTTTGGATACTAATATTACAGTGCTGACTTTCCTTTATTTTCTTTTTACTTCCTGGACATCATTTTTTTTAATATATATCCTGCTTACTTTTGAAGTAAACGGTTATTTTGTGTTTTTTTTGTAATTATTGAGTGTTCTTGTATTTTAATGTGTTTTTTTTTATACCTCGGGACTGTGGGAAACAGTATTTTCGATCTTTCTGTGTGTACAAAACATATTTTAAGATTGACAATAAAGTTGACTTTGACTGATAATGACACAACTTTATAACACGTGCGCTTCTATTGGCTAAGGGGCAGGATATCTCCAAAACTAAATACAACTATGAACCTGAAAAAATGGGCGTAATATGTTGTGGTAGTATTATATAGTGACGGCCCCAGAGCCTGTGGCCTGTGAGTGTGCAGGTGTGTTGCAGGTCCTGTGATGGGGGTGGAGCTGAAGAGGCCAATCAGCACGACTGGGGACACCTGGCCGGAGCCGAGGTGCTACTTAAGCCCAGCTGCCCGGAGTCACTGGATCCTTTCCCCTCGCCTATCCTCTCATATTCTCGTTGTTATTTTGGAATTGCCACAATAAAAGTGCCGTGGTTTTTGGAACCCTCAAACGTCTCTCTCTTTTCCTGTTGTGGCCTACGGGCAGGTCATAACATATAGCATATATTGGGAGGCTGTGGCTCAGTGGTTAGTGTGCTGGACTTCGAATCAGGGGATAGCAAGTTCGAGTCCCACTGCAGTCAGCATGTCGTTGTGTCCCTGGGCGAGACACTTCATCCCAAATTGCTCCTGTGGGGATTGTCCACCGTACTGAATGTATGTAAGTCGCTTTGGATAAAAGCGTCTAACAAATGACATGTAATGTAATGTAATGTAATATAGTACATAGAATAAGGGTAATGTAAAAAGTAAAAACTATTAGTATTAGCTAGTTAAAGTTGACCAAAATTGTGTGTAAGAACTCCTTCTCCCTTGGTGGAGGTCGGGAAGCGGTCAGTGTGACGGAACGCCTCCAGGCCACGCGTGCGGAAGTAAAATAATTGTTATAGCAAAAAGAGTTACAGGCACGTACGCGGAGAAATAATTTAAACGCATGCGGAAAAATGTTACAACAGAGAGTCGGGGAGTGGCGTAGAGACTTTCACCAAGGTCAACCAATAAGAAACAAGAAGGTTTAGTTATAAAATGCTAATACGATGTTTGGTTAGCTAGTACCATCCCGGGGTCTGCTCGGACTTATTTTTGCACCAAACTCTGACTGCCTCCAGCGATTTCTTTAGAACACATTAGAATTGTATAATCAGGAAGAAAGTTATAATGTTGAGAAGGAGGTCCGGACTTTTTCGACTAGCCTAGTGCGAGATTCTCTTGCGACAATGTCCTCTTTAAAATATCAGTAGATTGCTAAATGCAGAACAATGCAGAAAATTAATTGACAAGAAGAATAAAACACTTCCACTGGTTTGAAAAGAGATGCATGGATTTAAAAGTAAGACAAGTAGGAATTATGATGGTTTTTGGATAAAAAGTACAAAATAAATCGTATTAAATCTGTTGCATTTTGTTGGAAAGACATACAACCAACCAGAAATGTAAAAAGCAATGCTGTAGGAATTTAAATACAAGAATAATTCAGTCTTTTCTTCATGCAATGTTCTTCATTTTGTAATATCAGCGTAAGGTAAAATACTTGTTATTGGGGGATGAACTGAACCTGATAATAAGACTGAATTCTTTCCACTTAATTATTCACTCTGACCTCATTTTAATGTAAGCCAATTTCTTCTTCTTGGGATTTAGGGAGTGGGGGGGGGGGGTATTTTGTTTTGCTATAACCATTTAGCAGAGAGGGAGGTTTCCATCCCGCTAATGTAATTTTAAATTAACACAGAAGCTGCGGTAATGGTTCCTGGGAGCCGTTATCTTAAGTATGTCGATTTAAGAGTAGCTTCATCCGTCTCGTCCGTGCACCTCGTCGCTTTTGTCCCAATTTTTCACGGATGTTGGATTTTTCTTTGCCTCGAGCGCACAATAACAACTGCAGCTCGGTTTCGTACCCCGCCTACACAGCTCTCACTGGCACGGCTTACACACAGGAGGGATGAGCGCAACATAAGACATATTTTTAAGGCTGGAAAACAATTTGTTCTAAAGCATTCACTAATGAGGTCCTTCCTTAAAAATGTCCATTCGTTTCTGGTCAGACTTTTAGTCATTAAATAAGTTAACCCTTAGATGCATAAGTGGGTCTTTTTTGACCCGGTGAGGTGGTTTTCTTGAAGTATCTTTGTAATTACATTTTTGTATCATTTCATATTCCAGCTATTCCTCAAAAAACATGTTTTGGATATCATGCCATTCACATTTTAAATATACATTTTAAGAAATTGTAGTTTTTGTATTATGACCCCAAGCTTCCATAAGTGGGTCAAAAATGGGAACCTTTGATTCTTATCACCTGTTGCTGTCAGGAATACATTCACTGTGGACCACACAGACTACATCACAAGTGACACCTCTCAGGAAGATTATTTTACACGGCCAGATCTGATACCTGTCAGTATAATAATAATAATACATTATATTTGTATAGGGCTTTTCAAGGACTCAACATCGCTTTACAATATAAGGGAAGGTTAGGGTGGGGGGGGGGTATAGGACTATCAAACTTGATCAACCGGCATGGATTGATGGGGGGTGGGGGCTATGAGTAGACAAGAGGAGAAGAGATGAGTTTTGAAAAGGGACTGGAATACTGTGAGGGTCTCAGAATAGCAGAGATCTTTGCATCAATATGTTCAAAACATCCTGTCATGTACACAGGTACAGTTGGGGTACCTTTGTTATCACGTGGGCTCTGATATTGGAAGAGTACATTCAGTATTTTCCCAACAGCTTTTTAAGAGGATATGTATTTGTGGACACTCACCAGGATCATGTGTCCGGTGGAGATGTCCATGTTGTGGTGAGCGGGCTCCTCGCTCCAGGAGGAGATGCTGCTGCGAGCCGAGGGGCTGACGGCCGGACCTCCATCGCTGAACTGAGACGACACGCTGTTGATCCTGGAGGAGATCGGCTCGCTGCGCTCCGTCGGAGGTTTCACCGCCATGCGCTGCCGACACAGCTCCTGCAGGAGAGGAGGAGAGAAAAGGGGAGGAGTCAGGGCTGTCGTACGGTGGCACGGCACATTTCAGGATGTTTGTAAGGCAAGGCAAGTTTATTTATATAGCACCTTTCAACACAAGGCAATTCAAAGTGCTTTACAAAAATGGAAGACATTAAGAAAATGGCATTTAAAATCAGTCATTAAAAATGAAAGATAATAAAATAAACATTAAAAGAAAAAATACATGGATAAAAGTTACAGTGCAGTTTAAGATATGAATAGTTCAATTAAAAGCAGCAGCAAAAAGAAAAGTCTTCAGCCTGGACTGTTTTAAGTTGGACAATCGGAAAGATCTCGCGTTTAAAGACACCGTGTTTTCACAGATGCTTGAGTTCTTTTCAAAATATAATTGTGAGAAATTATTCAACGACACTTATGATGAATAGTAAGTAATTAATTAAGAAAAATGCTTAATATGTACAAGTTTTAGCCTCAACTTTACTCAAGCTATTAAATGTATTTCTCCTTTGATCATCAATTCTCATTATCTGGTATTCAATAAACTGACATATATAACTGAAACTATGATGAAATCAATCAGTTACTTATTTTTCATAAACAAATGACGGTTTTCAATCCAATAAATGTATATTAAATCTAATCCACTGTGGCCCTTGACATCTTGAAAACACTTTCATTCATCACTCGTCTGTTAGTCGAACGCTAAATTAATTAGTCAGATGTAGTTTTGTTTCTACGGCTACACATCTGCAGAGCTTCTAATTAATCATCTTATCTTGTAATAAAAGCTTTTTAATCAACATTCTGCATCAAATGATTCATTTATATAATAGTTACATGCATAATAACTGAATGTATAATGAGTCTTTCCATTAGGGACTTGATTAACTCCATTACTCACTGCGCTGATTTGGGATCAGTTTAATCTATGTCATCCCTTACCTGAAATACATCGAGTAGTATATAGAGCATGTGTGATATAATGTACCTTTTTTTATATTATATTTTGGGCTTTTTGGTCTTCATAAGGAAAGATCACATTACACTTGTTATTGTACATACAGCATATCTCCGAATCTGGGTGGACTTTATGGTGACACCCCAATTTCTTCCCAATTTATTTAGTTAAAGCGGCAAATATTGAGTATTTCTTACTATTTTTGACCTTTTTATTTAAAAAATTGGCTGAATTTGATCATTTTCAGGTTCATATCTCTGTTTTCTACCAGATATTGATAAATTAACATTAAATAGTCCATTTTGAATGCTTCAATTAAGCTAAATATCAGCCGTAAAAATGTGTCTTACTGTTGTTGTTAAATACAAAAATGTGTGTTAGTCGCTAAGCAACATGGAGCAGAACACACTGCATTGTGGGAGTTTTTAGTGTGGGAGGGGAACATACGATTCATATTTAACAATACAATAATTTCCACATCTTGTGATAAATAAAGAATCTATCTAGCTATCTATATCTCGGCGAGCCCAGACAGTGAACTCTTTTACGATGTTATTAAAACTGATTCAGAATGAATCTCCCCTCCTGAGAGCCAATTCTTCATCAGGAGGGGGGAGGCGCCATTTTAATAACCGTGGTTTATGATCTGAAGAAAGTCTGTTGTGGAGTTTTGTCTCAATGTTGCCTTTTAATTGGGTTTATGCTCTTGATAAGTAGGTGAGAGTAAGTCTGATTAGAACCTAGAGTGTGTTTTATAGGTTTTAGTGCATGTAAATGGTCTGCAGAGGATAAAATCCCCGTCTCCCCCCGCCTGAAACGCCACCTTTGTTGAGAACATTTTGACATCATTATTTAACACTTGCGCTTCTATTGGCTAGTCCTCCAACACATTGTACGTCTCTAAGACATCTCTGGTTGACCAATCACAACAGAGCCGACCAGCTAACCAATCAGAGCAGACTGGGCTCTGGTTTCAGACAGAGGGTGAAGAGAGGTGCTGCAGCACAGGCAGTATGAGAAAAATAAAGAGCTTTTTGAACATTAAAGCATGGAGACATGTCCCAGTAGAGACACTACATACTGATATACACCTGAACATCAGCAGGAGAGGACTCTTTAAAGTAGAGACACTACATACTGATATACACCTGAACATCAGCACGAGAGGACTCTTTAAAGTAGAGACACTACATACTGATATACACCTGAACATCAGCAGGAGAGGACTCTTTAAAGTAGAGACACTACATACTGATATACACCTGAACATCAGCACGAGAGGACTCTTTAAAGTAGAGACACTACATACTGATATACACCTGAACATCAGCAGGAGAGGACTCTTTAAAGTATAGACACTACATACTGATGTACACCTGAACATCAGCAGGAGAGGACTCTTTAAAGTAGAGACACTACATACTGATATACACCTGAACATCAGCAGGAGAGGACTCTTTAAAGTAGAGACACTACATACTGATATACACCTGAACATCAGCAGGAGAGGACTCTTTAAAGTAGAGACACTACATACTGATATACACCTGAACATCAGCAGGAGAGGACTCTTTAAAGTAGAGACACTACATACTGATATACACCTGAACATCAGCAGGAGAGGACTCTTTAAAGTAGAGAATCTACACATACTGATATACACCTGAACATCAGCAGGAGAGGACTCTTTAAAGTAGAGACACTACATACTGATATACACCTGAACATCAGCAGGAGAGGACTCTTTAAAGTAGAGACACTACATACTGATATACACCTGAACATCAGCAGGAGAGGACTCTTTAAAGTAGAGACACTACATACTGATATACACCTGAACATCAGCAGGAGAGGACTCTTTAACCTGTTCCACTCTGAGCCTGTTTTTCAGGTCTCAGGCTCGAAAATGACATTCCCAGAACAAATGACCATATCTTCCCTTCTAAAAGGGTTAAATTAATAATCTTTGTTCTCAAAGTAATGATAAACCTGTGAGTTGGATGTAGAAGTGTCAGAATCAATATAAATGTTTTTTATTTTAAAGACAATTCAGATTTTACATAGTAAAAAACTGTAAATTATAGTGTCCGTCCAAAAATTATTTTTTACAGATAGTGAAAACTACCCTTGGATGATGGGTTAGTAGACTAAAAGCTTTAGGAATCCAAAGTACAACATATAATAAGTACCCTGTATCAAGATTGATGCAAAACAAGTGAAATTTGACCTTTTTAGAGAGATTTAGCCAAAAACTGGGCCATCTGGGGTCATTTGGGTGGATTTGACCTATCTCTGGCCCCCCTTGCTCGATTTGGTTGGTTGACATACCCTTGTGACCGTTAGAGCCAATAGAATCGAAGGGGGAGGCTCCCACCCAGACAGGTTGTAAAGAAAAAATGTGGTTGCTTCGCGTGTGGAAAACGAAACCAAAGTAGAGGAATGTCTCCTTCTGGAGTTTGGAAACTAAAACGCAGTTGTATTGCTTATGGATTATCAGAAATAATTTCAAAGAAGGCACAGACACATAGGATGAACCTATGGATTAACTGCAGCATCGTTTTTTTTATCGTTTTAATGCCATTGAAGACCACTTTTGACCAAGGTAAGCCATATTTACTGTTTAGCTTCTTAGCTCCACATGTGATGATGTACGCTTTCGTTTAGAGCGTCGCGAATGTTTATCACTGAGTGTTGAGGAGGGCACCGTTAGATTCAGTGTCTCCAGGACACCAAAAAAGAGTGTTTGGTTGTGCATCTAGGATAAGTAATAAGGGAGTTCTGAGTGAGTTTATGTGCCTTTGTAGGTTACGTTTTTTTCGTCGAGGCTAATTCAGAGGCTGAGTGCTAGCATTGTGGGTTTTTTTTGAAAAAAAAAATTAAAAAGATCAGTTAGCTGAGTTTCTTCCCGTTACATGGATATAACACATTCATAGTTTTATTCAATATTAAGATTCCTTAGACGTTGTTTCCTGCAAATGACGCGTTTATCCGCCCGGTACCGGGGGGAAGGTGTGAAACAGGTTAAAGTAGAGACACTACATACTGATATACACCTGAACATCAGCAGGAGAGGACTCTTTAAAGTAGAGACACTACATACTGATATACACCTGAACATCAGCAGGAGAGGACTCTTTAAAGTAGAGACACTACATACTGATATACACCTGAACATCAGCAGGAGAGGACTCTTTAAAGTAGAGACACTACATACTGATATACACCTGGACATCAGCAGGAGAGGACTCTTTAAAGTAGAGACACTACATACTGATATACACCTGAACATCAGCAGGAGAGGACTCTTTAAAGTAGAGACACTACATACTGATATACACCTGGACATCAGCAGGAGAGGACTCTTTAAAGTAGAGACACTACATACTGATATACACCTGAACATCATCAGGAGAGAACTCTTTAAAGTAAGAGTATAATACCAGAAATACTTTGTTACAAACAAAAATGTCTGGCATTCAAAATGTACTCAAGTTAAAGTTATTAAAAAAGTGTCTATACTTTATATTTCTGTCTATGTTGATAACTTACATCGTACATTATTGCTGCCGGAGATGCAGCGACGCTTTAGAAAATCAGGTTTTAAATGTAACATGTTGGAGGTGAATCCATTCTCTAAACTGCATTATCTTTGAAGATAAATAAAGGCGGATAAATGTTAACATGATGGATCACCAATACTCCAGAGAGCTCTGAGTCTGTTTAAATTGATTTGATTAAAAAAAATATATATATTAAATGTATGAAAACAAATGTCTGTCTGGAGATGAGGAAATCAATCTCAGAAAGAACGGCAGCTTTGAAAATAAATTCAGACAGACGTTACGTGATTGTTATGCAACTATTTTTTAGCGAGGGAACGATCAGGCCGCTCCAGAGATGTTGTTATCTAAATATCAGAGATGTAAAAGTACAATTAGGCTTTTGTATCGGGACACATCGCTGCAAGAATGAGGAGACAGAAGATGGTGGCGTGTGGTGCAGTGGAGTGTGCGTGGGTGTTCGGATCAGGGGGGCACAGGTT